CTCTGTAAGGCTGCTATTAGTTTCCATAAACAAAGCTTCCAGCTTGGACATCCTTTCTTCCATGGCTGTTGATGCTGTTGTAACCATGGTGGGCTCTGATACCAGTTGTTACAGACCTGCAAATAAGCTCCAAAAACACAGAATAGAGATTAGGGTAAAGGGAAGAAAGAGGTAAAGAGGTAGAAGAAATAGGGTAAAGAGGAAGAATTAGGGTTTATCTCATTTAGAGAAAGATTGTCTAAAAGCATAAGATAAAATCCCAAAAACAAAATCCTTACAATAAAAAGCAAAACAAGCTAAAACAAATCAGAAAATATCCCAACCAACTCCTCTTTTCACGATGAGCATCTGTACGGGAGTTGTATCAAAACGGCGTCGTGAGAGTGTCCCTCAACCGCTTCCAACGGCTAGCTTCAAACGCCGTCGTTTAGGTAAGTGGCCTGTTTATTCAAATTAGCCAAAACGCTGTCGTTTTGGTCCTTGACTTTCAGATTAGAACTAACTTCTGCAAACTGCTTCCCCTCCTGATCTTCCACCCTGCTACCAGCCTTCCTCAGTTGGGTTTCATCTTCTAAAATCATGACAGATTATTGGACCGAACTGCCATGGATCTTCGTCTCCTCTCCTTCCCCAGCGCAGATGAACTGGGCTTGCCGATCTTGAGCTGGGTGATGCTGAGTTTATCGAAGCAGAGAGGCCGTCTCCTCTGCCGGATCACTCTTTTCTGAATGTAAGGGAACCCCACTGCGGAGCCGGACGTGACTTGGTGGATTGCCTTGATGAGTAGATCGAGGTCGTCTCCTCCGTGGAAGAAGGAAGAAGAACGAAGAAGAAGGGAGGAGGGAAGAAGAAGGAATAGGTGAAATGACAAATTTGCCCTCATAATTAAATAATTAAATATAGTTTATATTTTTCCGGTCAAATTTCGCAGGTGATTTGGTTGGGAGGACCAAATATGTTAATAATTGCATAGTTACAGAACTAAATTGATAGTTTTGAAAGTCAAGTACTCAAATTAACAGCACCGCAATAGTCACAGGACCAAAAGTGCAATTTATTCTAATAATAATTATTATTTTTCAAATTTCCACCTCCGTGTGGAATTGTGAATATATACCACCAAGTCAAGTCTTCCATATGTGATACACCATTTATTAGCCAAGAAATTTTTTCATTATATTCACTGAACCACATTAGGATTTCTCTTTCTGTCGTACATCAAAGCCAAAATAAAGACACGTCTCTGTAATAAATCAACCCTTGAGGTCGACAATAGAACAATAGTCCAAGCTCGACCCAATCACGATTGGAGTTGTGTTCAGCATAATTGCAAAAAATTCCAAGAGATAATTGTGTGGACCACGGTCGATAGGGCAAATTATATCGTGCACCGCGGTGCATAATCGATTATGCACCGCGCGTCAGACACTACAGTATGTCTAAACCGACACTGTCAAAACGACGTCGTTTTATTTAATGAAAAGAAATAGAATCTTCACAAAAAATAACTCTGTTCTTCAATTTCATTTTCTATATATTGCAGTTTCAGTTAAACACAACTATAGTTTCATTTCGATATAACTATGTTTCATTCAATATTTATACACTCAAATATGTGAAAATCTTATTTAATTTTATTTTATATACACTATAATTTCATTAAAACACAACTACATAATCATTTGAATATAATTACAGCTTCATTGTACAATATACACTCAAATATGTGAAATGTTATTTAGTTTCATTTTATATATACTGTAGTTTCATTTCACCACAACTACAGTATCATTTTGATATAACTGTAATTTCATTTGATAATATAAAAATAATACGTGAGCCAGTGTCGGTTTAGACACATTGTAGTGTCTGACGCACGGTGCATAATCGATTATGCACTACGGTGCACGATATAACGACCCCGATCGATAAGGACGTCGTTTATTTTCAAAAAAAAAAATAAGGACGTCGTTTTGATGTTCACAAAAAAATCATTGTTTTGCGCACGTTAGAATAATATAATGAACATTTTAGAATAAGACAATATATTTTATTAGTTAGAATAATGTACTTTATATGTGTTAGAATAATGAAATTTCTGGAATAGGATAATGTATTTTATGAGTTAGATTAATGTACTTTATATGTTAGAATAATGTATTTTATGAGTTAGAATAATATATAATATACTTTGTGTTAAAATAATTAAATTTTTGGGTAAGATAATGTACTTTATGTGTTACAATAATGTATTTTATGAGTTAGAATAATGTACTTTATGTATTTTTGTACCGTAGTCAACATTGTCAATTATTTGGACAATGGTCTTATCGTTTAGATCAGAGTCCACGTGTAGTTATATTTATGATCAACAACTGTGAAGTTAGGTCACGTACAGGGACGGAGCCAGAAAATTAATTGAATGGGGGCGAAATTTAAATGGCGATAGAAATGTTAATTACAAAATATCAAACCGGCATAATAAGGTTAAAATACAAAATACTTTATAAATTACAATATAATGTTTTATAGATTACACGATAGTTAGAGTCCGAGCAAAAAATATACTTGTGTGGGGTGAAAATGTAAAAATATTTATGACAAAATATGAAACATAATTCATTAGATAAAAATTTTTGAATAACACTATATTCATAAATACTTTTAATTTTTTTTTTTAGTTAGATCAACTTTAAGTTTTTCTAAATTAATTTGAATACAATGAAGTAGATCAACTAGTAAATTAATTCAAATAAATTTATATGAAGTATAATATAAACTTGTGTACTACATTAATTAAATGATTCATAAAAGTAGACTAAAAAAATATTTAATTTATCCTGGAAATGAATGAAAGAGATAAAATAAACAAGTGTTGTCAATGATGAGTTTTGAAACCATGACCATATACTTTTTATTAAATTAAAATCAAATTTAGAGTTCAAGCAACTAAACTACTCAAACAATTAGTATATTAAACATAAATATAAATTTTATATAACATTTAATGCTATATATATATATATATATATATATATATATATATATATATATATATATATATATATATATATATATATATATATATATATATATATATAAAGGGGTGGGTGGGGGGAGTGGGGGCAGCTGCCCCCACTGTCCCTAGGCTAACTCCGTCCATGGTCACGTAGGTCTGACGATGATGTAAGAACAATTTTGTCCGATAAAAAATAATAGTCCGTTGACTTAGGAAAAATGTGTTCATTTTGGCGGAAAATGACTTTCGCCAAAATTTGGCGGAAGTCATTTTCTGCTAACAGAGCACTGTTTTGCTATGGTTTCAGACAGAAACTAGACCACCGGTGCCGGAAACCACTGTTGTTGTTGTTTTTGTTGTTGTTACTTTTTTTTTTTTTTAGGTTTCTAGCTATCACTTTGAGCGTCCGCCATGGCCACCGTTAGGGGAGCTCCCACCTGCTGCTGGAGAACCCAACTCGCCGGAAAACAGGGGAAGTGAGAGGGAGAACACTGCCATCCCTGCCACCTGCTACCGCTGCCATGGCTTCCAACCAAGCTCCAAGCTGCCGGAAGAAGGTCGCCGGTGTTCCTGAGTCTTCACCGCTGCTAGACGAGGAAAGGAGAGACGGGGGTTCAAGTTGCCATGCCGCTGGCGCAAAGTCGACTGAAAGAGGAGGGAGGATCGACAGCTTTTGGGATGAAGGAGATGGGAATTTAACATATAAATATATTTCATTATTATAAATATTTTTATATTCTAAATAAAATAATTAAAATATTTAATTATACAATTCTACTCATTTTCCAAAAAATGAACCAAACATACCAAGACAGTTTTTCAAATGCAACCAAACACTGGAAAAGGAAAATGTTTTCTGGAAAATGACTCATTTTCGAGAAAACATTTTTCAGAAGTCAATTTCCTACTTTTCAAACGGACCCTAAGTTCCAACTCAGTCCCTAAGTTATGGTCGTATCTGAGTTTAGTCCCACAGTTATGAGCCAAGTGACGAGTTTGGTCTCTAGCATTAATACTCTGTCTGCGGCTAACGAATTGAAAAACTTAAAAATAATTTAATAATAGAGATGTAAAATATGAATTTCAAATTATAATCCCTTTCTTATGTTGAAACACATTGCGCTGCAACAGTTATTCTTTTCTTCTTATATCTACAGTCGAAGGTAATTTTTCTTCCCCAAGCTTGAAATCTCAAATTCGTCCATCCAAGCTGCGAAATTCATAGGTAATATGTTGATTCTCTATTTTATATCTTTAAATAAATAATCAATATTTTCCGTATTGATGAACTAATTTAGCCATTAATTATAGGATGTCATCTCTTATTGCGGTACTTCATCTTTCCCCCAATTTGGGGATAATTTTCGATGTAGATATGATGATTTATTACCCTTCAAAATGTCATGGAGTTATGCTAATCAAGGGAAAATATACCAAGCTTGTCTATGTTACGGAGCAAATTTGTATTTGTAAAAAAAATTGTAATTTAAGTTGTTTTTTTTTTTTTAAATAGAATTGAAATTTAATTTTTTAGAAAAATGGGAATAGGGTTTCTTTATTGATTACATAAGCAACTTAGGGTTTTTGTCGATTTGGGAGAAAGTATTTTGGTTAAGTTTACATGTTTTATTAAGGAATTTACTTCTTTATCAATGAAATTAACTTTGTCAACACACTACTAGCGTGAGCGACCAAACTCGTCACTTTGTTCATGACTGAGGGACTAAACTCGGATACGCGCGACTATAACTTAGGCCATGACTGAGTCGGAACTTAGTTATAACTCATGGACTAAATATGTAATTTTCCCTAATAATAATAATAATCTTTATGCCGTGGTCATTCTTTTTTGTTCCTCTTCCTTAAATTTCATAATTCCAGTCCCCCTCCGCCTGGCAGCTAGATCTCTGTGAACATCATTGTCGAAAGTATATATTGTGAATGCATGCTAGAGTAAATTCATTACAAAGTAAAGAGCTTACAAAAACCTATGAGAATGTTGTGTACTACACGTTTCCCCTTGCTTTACCTTTTCATTTTTCTTTGCTTGTCTTCTACTTTCACACAAAGGGTTGCAGCCAAAAACATGATAAGGTGTGTTGAGAGGGAGAGGCAAGCTCTTCTGGACTTCAAGCATGGCCTTGTGGATGACTATGGCATTCTGTCTTCTTGGGGAAGTGGTGAATGTTGTAATTGGTGGGGTGTTCACTGCAACAACAACACTGGTCATGTAACCATGCTTGATCTTCATGCCCCCTTAAATATTTATGGTGACCCACTTGAACAACTGAAAGTCCAGAAGGTTAGTCCATCTATACTTGAGCTGAAGCATTTGAATTATTTGGATCTCAGTTACAATGATTTTCAAGGGAATCGTATCCCCGAATTCATTGGTTCCTTTAAGAGATTACGTGTTTTGAGTCTTATGGAAGCCAAATTCACTGGTACAATTCCTCCCCAACTAGGGAACCTCACCAATCTCCGGATTCTAAATATCACAGGATCCCATTTGAAAATCAAAAATCTTGAGTGGCTCTCTCTTCTTTCTTCTCTAAGAAGCATTGATTTTAGTTATGTTCACTTTGATTCAACTGGGTGGCCAGAAACAAGTGTCAGCCTCTCCCGTTTTCTTGAGGTATTACAATTTTCAAATTGTGGACTCTCTGGAGCTTTGCCTTTCTCGCTAAATTCTTCTTCTTCTTCTCCATTTCTTTCCGTCGTTGATCTTTCTGAAAACAGTCTCACTTCTTCTTCTTCTGTATTCCATTTGTTGCAAAATGCTAGCAAACAACTCACTATCATCGACCTATCAAGAAATAACTTTGTTGGTCCCATCCCTGATGCATTTGGACACATGATATATCTTGAGCACCTTGATCTCTTTGGAAATTCTTTCACAAATGGAATTCCACAATCTTTTCGGAATTTAACTCATCTGCAAATTCTGTCTTTGGGTTATAATCAATTAAATGAACCAATTGCTGAGCTTTTTGAAAAGTTGTCAGAAGGTGCTGCAAAGAAGTCACTACAAACCTTGGACTTGTCTATGAATAAACTCATTGGTGGGCTCCCGACAGATATCAACACTAGATTTCCATCCTTGAGAGAATTGAAAGCACATGAAAACCAGCTAAATGGATCATTTCCTCTCGGCTCTGGACTACCTTCAAGTCTAGAATATTTAGATTTATCTGGTAACAAAATTAGAGGGTTGTTTCAAGACATGAAGTGTTTTGGAGAAGAATGTGATCTTATGTATCTCAATTTGTCCAACAATCAAATTACAGGACAATTTCCAGATATATTACATTTTTCATCCTTAAGAGCGGTAGATCTCTCAAAAAATCAATTACAAGGGAGTTTACCAGAAACCATAGGGAAGCTATCAAAGCTCCAAACATTGAAAGTCTCATCAAACTCATTGAAAGGAATTGTAATTGAAGCCCACTTTTCAAATCTTACCAACCTTCAAGTGTTAGATTTATCCTTTAATTTAGGGTTGTCTTTCAACTTGAGTGGCAATTGGATTCCTCCTTTTCAATTACACATAATATCATTGGCAAACTGTAGAATGGGGCCTCAATTTCCAAAATGGCTGCAAACTCAGAGTGATGTATTAAAACTTGATATTTCTTTTGGTGGTATTTCAGATATAATACCTGATTGGTTTTGGAACTTCTCCATGAGTTACCATACCTTGAATTTGTCATACAACAAGATTGGTGGGAGATTTCCTTCTTTACCAATCAACTTTTCTTTCCCTCGAGTTATAGATTTGAGTTCAAATAACTTTAGCGGTACAATATCCATACATCCTCGAAGAGTTTCATTACTTCATCTTTCAAATAATAAATTTGTTGGGTCAATTTCTTTCTTGTGCTCAATCACTCACGTGCATACTTATTCTATTGACCTTTCATATAATCAATTTTCTGGTGAGATTCCTGATTGCTGGACTAATAATAGTCTTTCTAATTTATTGATTCTCAACCTTAGAAATAATCATTTCTTCGGGAAGATTCCACCATCTTTAGGCTCCCAATCTAGCCTTCAGTCATTGCACTTGGGAAATAACAACCTTACTGGAGAACTGCCTTCTTCATTGCAAAATTGTACATCATTGAGAGTTATGTGTGTTGGAGGAAATAAGTTCAGAGGGAAAATTCCATCATGGATTGGGAAATTTTTAACAAATTTGGTCATTGTTAGCCTTCGACATAACAAGTTCTATGGGATAATTCCTTCAAGTATTTGCCATCTCAAAAGTATCCATATCTTGGATCTTTCCGGAAACAAATTGATTGGGCAAATTCCACAATGCTTCAACAATTTTACTTATATGATGCAAACCATAAGTTCAATTGGAAGTACCATACTGGATCTTAATGTCAGCATATTTAGTACAAGTGATCTCTATGTGGACAAAATTATGATTCAATGGAAAAACAAAGAGTGGGAATATGGGCAGATATTGCAATTCTTAAAAATCATTGATCTTTCAAAAAATCAATTGATTGGAGATATTCCAAAAGAATTTTCTGCTCTCAAAGGATTAATTTCTTTGAATCTTTCAAATAACCATTTGACTGGAAAAATCTTTCAGACAATCTATCAAATGGAAAATTTAGAGGTTCTTGATTTGTCTATGAATCAACTCTCTGGTGAAATTCCAAAAGGTCTTGCTCGTTTGAATTTTCTTGCTGTGCTCAACTTGTCCAACAACTTCTTATCCGGCAAAATCCCAATCGGCACACAACTGCAAACTTTCAATGCTTCTTCCTATGCCGGAAATATTGGATTGTGTGGGGACCCACTTCCCAAATGTTCCACAGGTATTCCTCCACGTAGCGAAAACAATGCCTATCAAGGAGGTGATAGTTTTCTGGATCAAGGATTTTACATATCCATGGTGCTCGGATTCTCTCTTAGCTTCTGGGGAATAGTGATTACGTTGATGCTTAAAGACTCATGGAGATTAGCCTACTATGGATTCTTGAATCAAGTCAAAGATTGGGTCTACGTGAAAGTGAAGATATATTTGGCTTGGCTACAACAAAAGATTAGACGCATATGATGATAAGAGGTAGAATTATATTCAACTTTGATTTATTATATATTTGGTTTACAAAACAGATTTTGAATGAAATAGCATTCGCACGAACAGATCTATTCCGTCATTTGGTAAGTTATTTTATTCTCGGAAATAGTATTCCTGAGAATGATCTATTTCCCTTGCAAGGGGAATAGCTATTCTAAGCAGGATCTTGATACGTATTATGATATTCATGAGTTCACAGAAATAACTTAATTTGGTAATATATAATTTATCGTTATTTATTTTTGTTTTTTACTATATATTAATATATGTAATATTCTAACCGAACACGTACTATGGTACATTTTCTAAATCTATTCCTTGCACGAACCAAATAATTGAATTCAATTGGTATTCTATTTTTTGTCTATTCTATACTCTCAAAATTTATTCCATAAACCATATGTGTTGTGTTGTTAGTATATTATTTCATTGTACCATCCAATAGCTGTTTAAAATGGGTCATCACTTCCATATACTTATTGAACAATCTTTAATTTGTCTTGACTTGAATTGGATTGTGTTCAGATTGGGAATTGAACAATCTCTGGTGCAGCAGAGAATTAAAGGAAGTGGATGGAGTACTCTGATCTGTTTGAAGATCGATCTGTGTTTGTTTCCTTCACCTTCTTTGGAGAGAAAATTAAAGCTAAGCATATATGTTTTTGTTTTTCCAACAAGTCTTATGTATGCATGTCATCATTTGAAGTAGCATACATGTTTACTAATTGCTATGTTTGCTCTGCAATTAAGTACAATTTTCTGAAGAAACTGCTGTAAATATATTTTAGATGGCCATTATTATAAATAGGATGAAGTGTATTATGTTTATCCCACATTGTATCTGTACGTGTTTGCGGTTATCGAATGAAAATGGCAGATTTGATCTTCTTCTCCATCTTCTCTCTGCATGATGATAGTGTACGATTATACAAGATTCAACGAGGATACACCCTAATTCACAACACGTTATCAGACGGGGGTGCTCTGTTTATTCTCGGTGAATTAAAGGGCTTGGTTTCCTACACATGAGCGATAGAAGAGGTCTAGCAAGAGACCCAACCTACACATGAGCGAGCATCCTGCTCACAAAAAGCTAAGTAAATTCTATTCTTCATCAATAGTATTCTTAATTAATTAGTTGTTGCCCTCCTATGTTGCTCGCTAAATTTTGCATGAATTTTTGGTATAATTTAGATATTTAATTTGACAAAATTTGAGAATTGCTTTTCTACTAGGCTGTTGTTTTTCCCTGCTTTTTTGCTTAGCATGCTTGTTGCCCACATCACAAGGGGTAACAACTTTACCAATTCAATTTTGGCAGTTTATATATGCTTCTGGTCAATTTGAATTGATAAACCGTTGCCATAGCTTGTTTGTTTTTTTCATTTATTAGTTGGAAAAGGATGAAATAGACCTTTGAACTTTAGCTAAAAAGTGAATTAAATTTCTCAATTTTTTATAGGTGCTATGGGGATGTGAAACGACCAGACTTAAATATCTCTAGGAAATGGCTAGAATCTAGCTGACTTATATATTGGCATCAACATTTATGAATATGTGAAAAATTTATGATAAAAATATATCATTGTCAACAACACAATTGCCTTTACAAATTGCTGATAATCTGGATCCAGAGCTAGGCACCATGAGTGTAGTGCCATGAAAAAAAAATTATATATATATATGTATATATATATATATATATATATATATATATATACATATATATATATATTTGTGTGTGTGCGCGCGCACGCGGTGTTTACTTTGCAATGTAAAATATAGTTTATAGGATAATGTTGCATTAAATTGGTTTGGGCTTGGCCCAATTGGCCCAGGTTAACAATGGCAACAAACCCAATGCGAAGTGAAAATGGACATGGTCAATAATTGTAAATTGTCAATAAGATGCCAAATATATTTCAAGTTACTCTTGGTTTGTTGAATTAAATAAGTTAAGTTACCTACCAAACTGTCTATATCGTATATCTTTTTGTGAAGGTCAATCATTAGATTGTATTTATAGATGAATCAAAATAGAGTTAGGTGGGACATCGTCCCAGTACATAGGTACTGTGTAATTAAAAGCTGTTGTTGCTAAAGTATGACCCAAACTATTATGCGATCTTGAAATAAAACTAATCGAGCAATAAGTAAACATAGCCATATAAGCTCTACAGTCATCAAGGGAGTAACCGAGATAGGATCCCGGTTGAATAGCAGTTGACGATAAATAGGTCTGTAGCGTCTGACAATCCATGTAGATGTTAACTGATTGTTCCCCCCGGCCTTTGAGCCACGACAAAACTTCTTTGCATGCTAGAGCCTCGGCCATAAGCGGTGAAAAACAGCTTTGCAGTGGTGCACAGAACGCCGATATGTAGTCGCCATGGTGGGTGAACAGTACTGCACCAATGGCGGCTGTCATGGTCGATGGGTGGTAGCCAGCGTCGATGAAGCATCGTCTCGGTTGGGGTGGTAGAGTTTCGGCTTCCGGGGGAGGTGGTTGGCCCGTGGAGGGTGGATGTGGCAGTGCAGCGTCAAAACTGGGAGGTAGCAGCAGTATTGTCGGCGGGAGTTGCTGTGCATGGAGCTCGCTGGCGGCGGGTTGTGTCGTGTCGGCAGTGGCGTGCACCCGCCGCCAGGCCTTCATGGTGGCTATAGCAGTAGTCACAACCTTTTTCGGCATCGGTAGATATGCATTCGAGACCGCTTTGTTTCAGGCCCTCCAAATACCGTATAAGGTCGCAGCTGCAAATAATACTCCATCAGAATCTAGAACATTTAACATTGTTCTAAACCATTCATGAAAAACATTTGTCACAATGTGGGGAATTGGAAGGTTAGATTGGCTCCATATGGTTCTTGCATAATCACACAATACTAATGAGTGCATTATGTCTTCATGCATTAATCCACACATGGCATACATCGGATCAATTTCTACCCTCTTTATAAGCAAGTTGGTGGTAGTGGGTAGGATATTACTCATAGCTCTCCGTAAGAACATTTTCCACTTTGGGGGATTCTAAGTTTCCATAGGGTATCCCATTTATCAAACCCAGGGTTGGTACTATAAGTGCCCACCATACGTCTATAGCCATTCTTTACTGAGTAGCATCCATTTGGGTCCCCATACCAATACCATGCATGTATCCTCATATTCCGGGGAAATGAGGATCTTTAGAATTCTAGGTATATCATTTGGGTGGAAAATATCTGATAGAATGTGTGGATCCCATGTTCAAGATGTTTGGTCAATCAATCCTATAACCTTAGCCTTAGCTAATTGTTGTGGAATCTCGGTTTGGACCATAGGGTCCAACTCATCCTGGAGCCAGGGGTCCTTCCATATTAGAGTCGACTCACCATTCCCAATACGTCGCCGCACTCCACTGGTAATTAATTCTTTAGTAGCCATAATACTCCTCTAGCAATAACTAGGATTATTCCTAAGACTAGCCTCAGAGAATGGTAGTTTAGGGTAGTACCTAGCTTTGTATACACGAGATACCAATGATTCAGTGTTTGTAAGTAAGGGCCACACCTGTTTCCCCAACATTGCCACATTAAATGCCCTTAGGTCCTTAAAACCCAGACCTCCATATTTTTTGGGAATACATAACCTATCTCATGCCTTCCAGTGAATACCGCGGTCAGTCCCTGATCCCCACCAATAGCGGTTCATTGTTCGTTCAATAGCCGCACAAACAGATATAGGTAACAGAAAAACACTCATCGAAAAGGTAGGCATCGCCTGAGCTACACTTTTCAACAATATTTCTTTACCTGCCTGTGTTAGGAGCTTCTTATTCCATGACCCAATTCTTTGTCTGATCTTATCCTCAATATAAGCAAAAGCAGCCTTTTTATTTCTTCCCACAAAAGCCGGTAAACCCAGATATTTTCCAAAATTTGGGGCCTGGACCACTCCCAAAATTTGTGCCACCATTTCCCTGTCACCATCACATGTATTCTTGCTATAACAAATACTAGACTTATGATAGTTAACCTTATGTCCTGACAAGTTTTCATACATGGCCAAACAATTCTTAACCTCAACAGCTTCATGTTGATTGGCCTTGAAAAATAAGAGGTTGTCATCCGCAAAGAATAAATGGGAGATCGGGGGTGCCCCTCGTGCAACTCTGCAGCCATGTATTAAACCATTCATCTACGCCTGCTGTAGTAATAGGAAAAGCCCTTCTGCACATATAATAAAGAGATATGGTAACAAAGGATCCCCTGCCTAAGACCACGAGTGGGCGTGACCAGATCACTAAGAGAACCATTTATCAGAAATCTATAGGACACTGTAGTCACACACAGCATAATTAATTCCACCCACCTCTTATCAAAACCCAAAGCCTTCAACATTCCCCGTAGGAAAGACCATTCCATGCGGTCATAAGCCTTTGCCATATCTAATTTTAGGGCTCCCCAGCCAACTGTTCCACACTGTTTCCTGTTTAAGAAATGTCCCACTTCGACAGCTATCAAAATATTATCAGTGATAAGCCTATCGGGTATAAACGCACTGTGTATCAGATATCACACTGTCCATCAAGGGCTTCATCCTTTGTGTTATCATTTTTTCCATTACCCTATAAATAACATTACTCAGGGCTATGGGTCTTAGATCCGTTACCAGCTCAGGCATATCCTTCTTCGGAATTAACACAACATTCGTTTCACTCAACGCTGGGGGAAAAGCTCGTATATTAAGGCATTCAGCAATATAGTTTGAGAGATCCCCCACCTACCACATCCCAAAAATGTTGATAGAAACCAGGATTCATCCCATCCAGTCCTGGTGCCTTATCGGGGAACATTGCAAAAAGGGCACTTTTAACATCATCCACCCCAAAGGGCTGTAATAACGCATCATTATGCGCCTGCGAAACCCTTGGTATAAATTTCTCAAACAGATCATGCCCATCAGCAGGATTACTAGAACAAAAAATATTGGCAAAATAGTGCAAGATAACATCATTCATGGCATTCCCTTCCACCCAGTCCCCAACATTATTCATAATTCTAGGTAAAAAAAATTTCTTCGTACGGTGAGAGGCATACCTGTGGTAAAACTTTATATTGGCATCAGCATTTTTCAATCAGTGTTGTTTAGCTCTCTGCTTCCAGTATGCATCCTCCTGGGTCTCTACACGACTCAAATCCTCTTCTAGCCGCTGGAACTCATTTAATGAAACTGAATCCGTCCGCCCCCTCAGGCGAAATTGATCACTCTGGAGCTGCTTAATGCGTTCACCAAACTTATGGAACCGGTCACCACCCCAACGAGATAACCGATTTCCACAATATGCAATGCATTCCTGCAAACCATTATGGTGGACACGGTTCTATGTTCATAACTACTGAACTATATGTTCATAACTATAAAGTTATATATTCATAATTTTTGAACTTCATATTCATAATTATTGAACTCTATATTCACAATTATAGAACTCTATGTTTTTTTTTTTTTTTTGAAAGGGAACTCTATGTTCATAATTACTGAATTATATGTTCATAATTATAAAGCTATATATTCATAATTTTTGAACTTCATATTCACAATTATTGAATCTCTATATTCATAATTACAGAACAATATGTTTATAATTATGTTCGCAACTGTATGTTCATAATTATAGAACTATATGTTCATAATTTTTGAATTATATATTCATAATTATGAACAGTTTTGGAACCGTGTCCACCTTGCAAGGTGGACACGGTTCCACGGCATAATTTGTCTTGCATAGAGGGATACATCGTGCAATGAGATTATAGTGTAGGAAGCTTTAGATTTGCGTTGTTGTGTATATGACTATGATGTTAGTTGTACTATGAACTCTTTATCTTACAAGCACCTATTGATATTTGGTAGTGGTAGTTTCCCCCCTACATGTTTCATGTATTGTGAGATGTGTATCATAGGTTATCATGTGAAAGTATTGAACAAAATATTAATATTTATTATATTTGTATAAAATATTTGGTAAATAAAAATATATAAAATATTTTGTATTATAACTTTGATATTTAATTACAAGATAATGTAAAAAGAAGACCATGGATAATGTAGTGAATATAATGAATTAATAAATTTGAAGGTAAGGAATCTTTGAATTGTAGAAAATAAAGATAATATAACTAATGAAATTATATCTTTTTTTAAAATTTTTATAATGAATAAAATTTTAAAATAAAGGCAATATAGACATCTAATTCTAAAGTAATTAAATGCATATGTATTATTTTTTGTTGTAGCTACTAATTTATTAAATTTAATAAGAGTAATAAAGTGGCGTACATACTTTTCATCAACAATAATGAAATTATTGTTATTTTTTAAATTTCCATTCGTTGTTGAGACGGATTGTTTTGAGAGTTTGTCAATGACAATTGCTACAATTGTTGTCAATTGATAATAAATAATTCAAAATATATGGTCACAATAGATATTGTTATAATGATATAGTAAAAATTAAATTAACTTACAAATTTCTTTAGAAGTTTTCATGCATTGATAATATTATGATGTGTAAACTTATTCAATTGGGGCCAGTGGGATGTCAACATTGGCCCTGTTTGGTAAAATGGCTGTTAGCTGATAGCTGTTAACTGTTAACTGATTGTATTAATTAGAGGGTATAAATAGTTGATAACATTAGCTGATTGTAGAAAAGTGTTTGGTAAATTAGCTGTTAGCTGATAGCTGTTTGGTATAATTTTTTTTTCTCAAAAAGCTTATTGAAAAAAATTGTTTGGAGTAGCTTTTTGAATTTTAGCCTTTTGGAGTTGCAAAAAGCTAATTAACCAAACATTTATATTGATATGTTAACTAAATCAAACAATTAATAATGGTCAAATAAGCCAAAATTAACCTATAGACCAATTTTTTACCAAACAGGGCCATTGCCAATTCTTTGAAAAAATGTTTAACATTGTCAATTCAACTAAAAGTGTTTTTCGACTCAGATTGTGTAGCGTGTAACGAAACTAGAAGATCCATTACTGGATACTGTGTGTTTGTAGGAGACTCACTAGTTTCATGGAAAGCGAAGAAACAACTCACGGTCTCAAGATCTTCATCTGAGGCCGAGTATAGAGCTTTGGTGGCTACAATCTGTGAAATATTGTGGATAGTCTATCTCCTACAAGACTTAAGCATCAAACTTGACAAATCGGCTACATTGTTTTGTGATAGCAAGTCGGCGATACCCATTGCTGAAAATCACGTGTTTCACGAGCGCACCAAACACATCGACATCGACTTGCCATATTGTCCGAGAAAAGTTGAATTAAGGCCTTATCAAGCTATTGTCTGTCTCGTCTGCAAACCAGGTGGCCGATGGATTTACCAAACCTCTAGCCATTCCTTTGTTCCGACGATATTTGTCTAAGCTGGGGATACAAAACTTGTATGCCCCAGCTTAGGGGGGAGGGGGGGGGGGGGGGAATGAATTGAGTATACTGGTGAAAGGTAGCTTATGTAAAGGGGCTTAACCATCTTTGTCCTTAATATCTGTTGTAACGGCCATTGGCGCCAGTTTTAGCTTCTTGTATTTAGCTTGCCAGTTTAGTCACTGGGAGTCCATTACTTCATTCATATTGTAACCACCAAAACTTCTCAATACAATCTCTCTGTTCATTCTCATAACTCGACCTTCATCACATTCCAGTCAAAAACCACCATCGGGAACACATCTATCAATTTTTGTTTTTCATTTTTATAATTATAATATGACTAAAATAAAAACCTAGCTATGTAACAATAGAGGAACAGTAATATGTTACTTTCAATGTCTCAAGTGGTTAGTCTTAAGATGTTTTTATTATTCCGAAGAGTTTCTTTGGTGTTTAAGAGAAAATTTAATCCTGAGGTCAAGAAAGTTGGATCGATGTGGCCTTTCTATTGTTCTTTTTGCTAAGATTCGAGACTAACAAGTTGAGATGGGAATCAACATTTTTTAATTAGAATTATGAAGCTACAACATTCTCAATTATGTATTCTTTTCTTCTCCTCTTCTCACAAATATTGTCTACTGAATGAGTGAGTTGATTTTAAGCAGGCTATGTACGTCTTTTCTATTCCATATTGATTTTTGTTTTTTGATTTCTACACAATTAATTAGCTCCGTGCTGCCTTTTGATACATAACATGCTTGATTTGTGTCAATTTGTAGGATTGGAGTGTGATTTTGATGATTAATAAATGTTGGAGTTTGCTTTTTGAATGATCATCATTATAATGGATTTCTAAAGGTTTGCTTTTACTTTTGCTTTTTTTAATTGATTGGATTGTGCTGTGACATGTTGTGTAATGGTACGTAGAAATGATTGAGTTTGTATTATTGGTGTACACTGTTTGCTTTTGAGTCTTCCATCTCTTATGTACAAGGAGTGCTTTATATTAGGTTGAAGGTAACTTAAACTTAGATAGTTTATTTTCTATATCCATAGATTTATGAACAAGATTCAAAAGAAATTAGAGACAATAGAGCCCTAAATTGTAGTGCACTAAGTTATATTTATAATCAATTCCTGCAATATTTGAAAATTTGTTTTGTATATCAATCTTCCTAAAGCATAGTAAAATGTTAATTAAGATGCTAATTAGGTTATGGGTTGCTAAATGAGCTTTAAATCCTTTATAGCTTATTTACAAGCTAGAGCTTATTAATATATAGAAGTCTTGTCTTACAATTGAAGTTTTGATGAAAAAATTAAGGCTTGTCATATTCAATTCCTTTATTTCTCCCTCACCCAAACAAAGATGAAGGCATTTAAGTTAAATAATTATTATGATATAAAATACGCACATTCCTAAGAAATAAATTAATTTTGTATTATCTCAGTGTTAACTAAACACAAATTGAGCCACCAGGGCGCCACTGGCTTTGGACTCGGGCAGCTCAGCTTCAATTGAGCATGTTCCAATCCCAGAAAATAATTCCCATCTTGGAGTGGCCTTGCTCGATGACCATGGTGTCCGTCCTGCATCGCTTTCGGAATCCCAGCCCGAACACTTGTCGGAGGGGGATGAGATTCAAGGAGCTCAGAATTTCTCAAGTTCTCTTCTGGACTCGTGGAAAGAAGCGAGCAAACTCTTTGCCTCTAAGCTAGGAGGTTCAAAGCCGAATGAATTTATTGCAGTTACTAAGAAGAAAAGCCGCCCAGGAAGGATTACTCAGCAAATGTGCCCTCAGTCACCACTCGCCTTGCTGCGGGTAAAATCGCCAAAGTTTCCTTCTCCCATCGTTTGAAATGAACCTGCTAAGTTGGAATGTCCGAGGCCTGCTCTCCTCACGGCGCAGGCTCAAACGGATCATTAGACGTGAGCATGTTCACATTGTCTCCATTATTGAACCTTTTGTAAATTCTAATCAGCTCAATAACTTCATTCGCGAGTTCACTCTGTCGGATGGATATGCCTTGGAGGAATCGAAAATCTGGGTTCTCTGGTCGGATTGCTTCGAAGTAGATGTTGTGATAGATAATTCTCAATTTATCTACTGTAAAGTCCGCTATATCCCTTGGCAGTTCAGTTTGGGTTATGTGGCAATTTATGCTAAGCATACCAGGGTGGAAAGATCACGGTTATGGGCCCATTTAGCAGCAGTTCTTGATGAAAAACATGCCTATCCTTCTTGGTGGTGATTTCAATGTGATCTCAAGCATTTCAGAGTACAAAGGAAGTGCCTCCCCGGAGCTGGGAAGCATATCGGATTTCTCTGGTTTCATCGGTGACAACTCCCTAATTGATTTGGATACGATCGGTTCTCAATACACCTGGCACGGGGTGTAACACCCCCTAAAACCATGCAATTTAAAGCCTTAAAACATGCAAATAACTTAAACCAAAACACTAAACACAGCGGAAGACTGGAAGAGGAAATATATAAAACAAAGCGAACGGGGTACCGGTGCTATGCCACGCTCACCCAAGGGTGAACGCATAGGCTAAATCTGCATTGTTTAAAATCTACAACCATCCAACAGAGTACTACGTCTAGATTGGCTC